AAAAAAAAAAAAAAAGGCAGAGAGCCTCCAATTCTAGAGACCAATAGGGCTATTGTGGTTAAACTACACCAGTTTCTGTAACCACCAGCAAACAAGGGAGGAGTGTGGTGACTGTTGCATCCAATTGCCATTGATTCCCCAGCATAAATGAGCAGATACCCATTCACAGACGGATAGACTGGGGGTGGCATTTGGCCCAAGTCTGAATTGGGTCCCAACTCTCACACCTCTGGAATTGTAGCAAGATGCCTTAACTGCTCGGCCCTCCAACCCCACCAGAGTGATGGGCAATGGCATAAAATCCTTAGGTAGACAACAGACTCCCAACTCAACTGCAGCTGATAATGGTTGATCAGGTCACCCTGCTAGGATATTTTGCACGGCAAGACTGATGTGATCAGAAGTCAGCCAATGTTTGGGACTCCCATGAACAAGATGAAAAAACATTTGTGCTGTGTTCCTTGAGGCTGGGGCTTGGGGCAGCGACTAGGACCTTAATAGCATTGTAAGGCTTCAGTATGTTTCAGTGTGTGTTCATGCTCCTATCCGCGTTTAAACGGGAACCCTTGATAGACGGATGGATGGATGTTACAGTGACACTGTCAAGCTTGAGAAACACAACATGTAATTTGCATTTTCTGTGTTTTAACCTCGCATCTGTTCATAACACCCATATTAGTAGCTGCATGTTTTTTACTCTGTCTGTTGCTGCCTTTCTTTGAGAGAGAAAAGCCCTCAGTGCCAGCAGTGTCAGTGCTGAGGGATAATGCTACAGGACTGTAATAAAGAAATATATACAGGTGGGTTGGGGGACGGGACTGCAGAAAGGCAGGCTTTAGTCTCAAGTTTTCAAACGAACGAAATTTCAAATTGCAAAAATAAAATAAAATCCTGTTGGGAATTCACTTTGAAAACGTATTTTTCTAGCTTGCATTTTGAATAATTGAATATTTTTTTAGATAGAATAGAAATGCAGTTTGGGTAGATGCTGGCCAAATAATTGTTGTGAAAATGAGTTAGTGGTTTCTTGGTACCCTTTCTAATGGACAGGTGTTGGCATTGCACAAACCACTTCCTCAAGTGGTTCTGCTTCATCTCCTCTGGTAACAGAGGCCAAGATGGAGTGGACGATGTAGACTTGTTGGAGAGTTGGTTCTTTGAAGCCAGGCGGTGAAGCTTGCGTAAGGAGAAACAGTTTTTCTCTTTTTCCTTCTGATCCCCTTGAATGAGACAAAATTTTAAAGAGGAAAACACACCAAGCTAAAATTAGTCTGTTGGTCTTGACAGCTGGAGGGTTCCATGACTGTTGGGCACACGGCTAAAACCCAGCAGGACTTTTGTCTGTAGCCTGGTGATTCTACTGTCTGGGATATGAAACCCGGAAAGTGTGCCAGATTACATGTAATGGCTCCTTTCCTCGAGAGCTTAGGTGTAACGGGAAAAGTGGGCGCAGTAACATATGATGAGACAGAGGGCGAACAGCGAAAGGGCATTATAGCTGGTACGTAGTCTACAAGAGGGAGGGGGATTGTCTGATTCCAGGTTCCCAAAGAAAAAGGAAAGGAATGAAGTGAAGATAGTGAGCAGATGAGGTGGGCTGTGTCGTGTGCTGGGAGAAGTCCTTAGAAGAGGTTTAGAAAGAGAGAGCAACAGGTAGAGAAGGAAAAATAAAACAAATGCTGAGTGCTAGACTGTGTGGACAGAAAGGGAAATGATCCTAAAGAGAGAGTGGGAAAAGTCCAAAAATGAAGGGAAGGAAGGAAGGAAGAGAGAAGAGAGAGGAAGTAGGCAAAGATTGAAGAGTGATGGAGAGAAGCGAGGAATGGAGAAAACAAGGAACAGAAGGAGAGAGGCAGTGGTGAAGCAAAAAACCCCTGTGGAGAAGGAAAGTGAATGATTTAAACTATGTAAATAATCTAGTTGTTGAATGGCTTGTTTAATTATATTGAATTGCTATTGAAAGAGCATTCATTTAATAATTTGAGTTGCATTGGAGCAGGTTTTAAATGGTACTGGTATTTGTGTATTCAAAACTGAATCACGGTTTGTCTTATAAATTACTAGTTTGGATGAAGTGCCGGCAGCGTGCTCTGCTCTGTCTGTGCATGACACAAATCAGTCCCTTGTAGAATTCAAAATACTCACCCCCCCATCCTGTAACCAGGCTTCCCAGTAGGTGACCTGGCAGTTGTGCAGGCTGGTTAGCTTAGCTGACCATGAAGAAATACCCTCCATCTATTGCTACCTGCTATATACTTTGTGTTGCATGGTCCGTGTTTTGGCTTTTCTGTGAACGGAGAAGTGGACCTCCAACCCAGCCCAGACTGTTGGAGTCATTTCAGCTCTTGGAACACAAACTGTTTTAATCATAATAACAATACCTAGAAATGATCATTAAAAGGGCCTGGGATCAAGCTGAAGCAACAAGGTGATGGGATGGTCTTGTGATTAATGCGCACAACTTGGAGCTAGGGTTCCTGGGTTCTGTACCCAACTCTGAGGCAGTCTGCCTCTGTGATATGAGGCAAATTACATGCTCTCTGTGCCTCTGTTTTCCAAACAGCACTTGTATTTAGGGGTGCAGCGATTAAAGATTTTCTTGGCCAATACTGATACCAACCATATCAGCTGATGCCGATTCAATAACTGATTTACTCCAGTTAAATCGGTGGAGCAGGACAGAGCCATGGGCAGCTTATCCAGGAGGCAGTGGGGAGGGCGGCTCTCTGCCACCCCCCCCCTGAGGGAGGCATGGGGGGAGCATGTGTCCCCCCAGAGTGGTGCGTGGGGTGGATGTGGGCTGCTTGCTGTGGACTTGGGGCTCTGCTCTGCTGCTTTTCTGGCAGTGGTGGGAGTTGCTAGTTGTGGGTAGGGGACAAGCTGCCAGCACGGGGCTTTGGGGACAAAGCCAGCAGAGAGGAGAGCCTCGAGCTCACAGAGGGCTGCTTGCATCTGCCCTCACCCCACTCAGCTCTGCTCTGCTTAAAAGCCTCTCCCATGCTTAAAAATGGTGGTGGTGGCACTTGAATTAAAGGTCATTTGCTATGGGCTCAGAGCTCTCTGCTCTATTGCCTTTGCCTCGGGAGTCCTGTGCTGGTCACGTACCTCCTGTCTGCCTGACAGTGGGACGCACAGCTCACTGCCACCACTGCTGCTGGGTCAACAGTGGTGCATGGCTGGCATGGGGCTCCCGAGGCAAAAGCAGCAGAGCAGAGAGCCCCAAGCCCACAGTGAGCAACCTGCATCTGCCCTGTGCACAAATCTGGGGGGTGGCGCACAGTGGCAAAGAGCCTTTCCCCCTCAAATCCCCTGGATGAACCACCCGTGGGTCCTGCACCACCCTGGGCAGTGCCCCCAGCTCCAGCCCCTCCATAGACCTAATCTGCCCCACCCGGTGTCCCTTGCCCTCCATAGACTTACCTGCATGGAGCTGCTCTGCCACTGCTCAGCTGTTTTCCTGGCCACCTGCATGTGTGCGGCTGCGCATGTGCATGCGGCACCCCTAGTGTCTTGCTCCCAGCAGCTCCAAGAAGGATCCCTTGCAGGGAGGTAGAAAGCTGCCCGCCTGCAAGGGGAAACCTGCCGTTTCCAAGAGAACCCAGGCATCTGGGGAGCCCCAGCCCTGTGGGGGAGAGGGAACCCAGGTGTCCAGGGCTCTGGCCAGAAGGCATAATTCTTGGTAAACATTATCAGCTACAATGGCCAAAAAAAGTCGATAGCTGATAATGTAAAATTCCGTTTTAGTGGTGTTGATCCGATAGGCAACTGATATACTGGTGCAACTCTACTCGTATTTCTGTGGGATGATTCGTATTTCTGCTGGATGCTTCTTTACCTTGGGTAGTTGTGAGACTGAATTCGTATGTATAAAGCATTTGGAGCTTCTCAGTGGGAAGTGCTACAGCAAGGCATACTAATTACTATTGTATTGCATTAAAGGGAGTGGTACTACAATGTGATTTGGATATAGCACTTCAGCTTTCTTTACTTCTACTAAAGATTTGAAGGCTCATTGCTGCAGTCCTTATTTAAGCCATTAACTTGAAGGGTGTGTGGACTGCATGATTTGTCCCTTAGCTTAAAAGCCCATTCAGACAGATGGTGAGTGCCTTTTCCTTTCCCTGTCTGGCGCTGAGTGTGCCCCTTTGTGTTCTCTGCTATGGTGAACTGCAGACAAGATGGAGTGGCTAACTCATGAATACTGTTTTTACCGAATCTTCCCCACCTTTGAGGTTCCTTCCTCCAGGTGCAGTTCTTAGGAATAAATTTTACAGTGGCATTTGCAGTGGAAAACGGGATGTGTTGCTCAGTAGCAGGACTTCTGTGCTGAAGTGTTGGACTAGGCATCGAGGTGTCTCTTTATGATAAGTCAAGCTGTCCCCTTCCTTGGCAACCTGTTAAATCTTGACATAGGGCTTGATGTTTGAAGGTCCTGAGCTCCAAGCATCTTGCACAGTCATGAGCCACCTGTATTTCTCTCAAGTTTTTACCATCTTCCTTTCAGCCCTGATTCTTGCCTACCAACCCTATGGCAAGGGAGTAGAGCTCTTGC